TATAGAATAGAAATGACCGATCTCTTTTTTTTCAGTGCACAAATAAGAAAAACTTTTAAACGGAACCACAAATTTTTCATCATCCATGTCAAAAGAAAGAATAGCTGTTTAGGATCGAATTTGGAAAAAACTCAATCTGTTTCCGGAAAGTTGTGCGAACCAAACGAATATTCTACTGCGCCAGTTCCATCTAAAATACATCAATGTACATACTGTGATTACAAAACCGCATTTAAACCTCATTTTACCGGGCATATGTCAATGCACAGTAATACAAAAGTTTCTGATCTGCACATCTGCAAATATTGTAATGCGTCTTTTAACGCAAAGAAGTCACTTCTTGCCCATATTTTAAAAAAACATTCCAACTTTTGCGGGACAGTTTCTAGTAAGAAATACGAATGGAGGCATACCGCAAATCATAATAGTGAAAAGCCCTTTGAGTGTTCAAACTGTGATGCGGCGTTCAAAAGCAAAATGTTACTAGATAATCATGTGATTAGGAAGCATGCTGAATCTATTGCATCAGTATCATCTAAAATACACGAATGCGGATTTTGTGATTACAAAACTGCTGTTAAACGTTATTTAACCAAGCATATGTTAATACACAATGATAACAAAGTTTCTGAGTTGCACGTGTGCAGACACTGTAATGAGTCATTTAAAGCAACGCAGTCGCTCGTGAACCATATTCTGAAGAAACATCCCAACTTTAGCGGAACAGTGTCTAGAAAGATATATGAATGTATGCATTGTGCATATAAACTAACCAATAGGGGTGGTTTTATAACTCACATGGCAACACATAATAGTCAAACGCCTTTTGCGTGTATAAACTGTGATTCTGTATTCAAAAGCAAAGTCTTACTGGATAATCATGTCATTAGGAAGCACGCTGAATCTATCGCATCAGTTTCATCTGAAATTTATGAATGTAGGTTTTGTGATTACAAAACCGTTATTAAACGTTATTTAACCAAGCATTTGTTAATACACAATGATAACAAAGTTTCTGAATTGCATGTGTGCAAACATTGTAATGCGTCTTTTAAAGCGAAGGAGTCGCTGTTTGACCATATTGTAAGGAAACATCCCCTCTTTAGCGGGACAGTGTCTAGGAAGATATATAAATGTATGCATTGCGCATTTAAAACAACCAGTAGGAGTAATTTTATAAAGCACATGGCAAAACATAATAGTCGACCGCGTTTTGCGTGTATAAACTGTGATTCTGTATTTAAAAACAAAGTCTTACTGGATTATCATGTCATTAGGAAGCACTCTGAATCTATTGCATCAGTTTCATCTAAAATATATGAATGCACGTTCTGTGATTACAAAACCGTTGTTAAACGTTATTTAACCGCGCATATGTTAATACATAATAATGAAATTCCTGATTTGCACGTTTGCAAACATTGTAATGCGTGTTTTAAAGAAAAGCAGTCGTTTCTTGACCATATTCTAAAAAAACATCCCGACTTTAACGGGACAGTTTCTAGTAAGAAATATGAATATATACACCGTGAATCCAAAACAACCGGAAGGAGTAGTTTTTTAAGCCAAGCCGCAAATCAAGATAGTAACAAGCCCTTTGAGTGTATAAACTGTGATGCGGCTTTCAAAAGCAAAATGTTTCTAGATAATCATCTGATTAGAAAGCACGCTGAATCTGTTGCATCAGTTTCATCTAAAATACATGAATGTCCATTCTGTGATTACAATACCGTTGTTAAACGTTATTTAACCAAGCATATGTTAATACACAATGATGACAAAGTTCCTGATCTGAACATCTGCAAATATTGTAATGCGTCTTTTAAAACAAAGACGTCGCTGCTTGACCATATTTCAGAAAAACATCCCAACTTTAGCGGGATAGTTTCTAGTAAGAAATACGAATGTATACATTGTGAATACAAAACAAACAAAAGGAGTAATTTTGTAAGGCACAACGCAAATCATAATAGTGAAAACTTTGGGTGTATAAACTGTGATGAGGCGTTCAAAAGCAAAATCTTACTAGATAATCATGTGATTAGAAAGCATGCTGAATCTATTGCATCAGTTTCATCTAAAATACATGAATGCACGTTCTGTGATTACAAAACCGTTGTCAAACGTTATTTAACCTCGCATATGTTATTACACAATGATAACAAAGTTTCGGATGTGCACGTGTGCAAACATTGTAGCAAGACTTTTAAAAAAAATCAGTCGCTCATGAACCATATTCTGAAGAAACATCCCAACTTTAGCGGAACAGTGTCTAGAAAGATATATGAATGTATGCATTGTGCATTTAAACTAACCGATAGGGGTAGTTTTATAACACACATCGCAACACATAATAGTCTAAGGCCCTTTGCGTGTATAAACTGCGATTCTGTATTCAAAAGCAAAGTCTTACTGGATAATCATGTCATTAGGAAGCACGCTGAATCTATTTCTTCGGTTTCATCTAAAATTCACGAATGTAGGTTTTGTGATTACAAAACTGCTGTTAAACGTTATTTAACCACGCATTTGTTAATACACAATGATAACAAAGTTCCTGATCTGCACATCTGCAAACATTGTAATGCGTCTTTTAAAGCAAAGCAATCGCTGCTCGACCATATTTTAAGGAAACATCCCGAGTTTAGCGGGACACTTCCTAATAAGATATATGAATGTGTACATTGCGAATACAAAACAACCAGAAGGGGTGTTTTTATAACGCACATGGCAAAATATAGTGAAAAGCGCTTCAAGTGTTCAAACTGTGATGCGGCGTTCAAAAGCAAAATGTTACTAGATAATCATGTGATTAGGAAGCATGTCGACTCTATTGCATCAGTATCATCTGAAATATACGAATGCACACTCTGTGATTACAAAACGGCTCTTAAACATTATTTAACCGGGCATATGTTTAAGCACACTAACGCACAAGCTTCTGATTTGAACGTGTGCAAACGTTGTAATATGTCATTTAAACAAAAGCGGTCGTTCATCAACCATATACTGAAGAAACATCCGCACTTTGGCTGGACAGTTTTTAATCAGATATATGAATGTATACTTTGTGCGTACAAAACGACCGGAAAAAGTGCGTTTCTAAGGCACATGGCAAATCATGATAGTCAAAATGGAGTCCGATGATTCCTTCAGCCGAACTTTAACATAACCGCCAATGTTGTTGGTGTTTTAATTTGAGATTTTCTGCGGCCCAATACCGATAATTCTGCTTGTTGACAAATCCATTCAAATGAAAATGAGTTTCATCAGAAAAGAGAATATTGTTCAATCTTGGAAAGCGCTCTAACATTGGACGGCGTAGATGGTGGTCCTGCGGTTTCAATTCCTGCTTTAGTTGAAGTTTATATGGGTGCAATTTGAGGTCGTTTGCCAAAATTCACCTTACAGTTTCCTCTGTTCGTATTGTCCTTGGACAGGTTTCTGATTCACTGTCGAACCGGTAAACTCGAACTTTCTGACTCACGACCTAATCACACTTTCACTAGGATATTGATTTAGATCATGTAAACTAAACTCAGAAAGAGAGACAGACACCGCGCAATAGTGCACGAATCTCCATTTTTTGTAATAAGCCTTGATACAGAACGCACGCTGTTCACCGGTGAAACGCTCCATGGCGACTAAAGTTCCGAGCACTAAGGTCCGTGTCGTCAGTCGTCCCTACAATTGTAGGGCGCGTTTATGGCCTCCTTGATTGTCATACTCCTTTCCCTCCTTCAAAAATTTCTAGATTACACTTGTCCCGTGTCAGCGTCAGCGCTGTCCTATTGTGAAGATATGTTTTCTTTTTAAATTGTAGGAAGTTTCAGGCTGATAAAACATGATATAACTCAAAAGCAACCACAATTTGATGCAAATAGATGTTTGTGACATAACCTCAAAATAGAGTTCTGACACGGAGAAGTAGAAAACTATGACAATCAAGGAGGCCATAAAGGCGCCCTACAATTGTAGGGACGACTGACGATACGGGCCTAAGCTACTTATCCCCACTACCCGTGTCCTGCTCTCGCGTGCCTGTCAAGAGGAATTCGTACGTCTATCTGGTCCACCGTCTATTGGCACGCAAGATTTAGCTGAGCATCTCATGAAACATGATGGAGTTAAGCTTCCGCGTTATTTACTTGAAAACGGACACAAGACCAACGATTTTGTCATCCTGTACGATGAAGACGATAGAGAGAGACGCTTACGCTCTCTAGCTTATACCGCTCGGCGTTTTGCGCTGAGCAGAGCAGAGATATCTCATTGCATCATCAGGGCCAAAGTATCAAGTGGTCTATCGTTTAACACCATAATCGCCTGCAGACGACTTGCACTTAAAAAAAAAACAGTAAAAATACGTTTTATAAGGATCGGTTGTTATTAACAAATATATATTTATTGATTGGTATTTATTTATGTATATCTAATGAACTTGTATATTTCTTAAATTTAGAATAATGTTTTGGTTGTTTGCGAATAATGTGATCTCAATACGTCAAAATTAGCACGATTTTTTTAATACATATTTAAATTCTTGCAATATTTCTTTTATGTTTTATATTGTACATATTTGAAATAAACATATTTAAATAATATACGTCTTTTTATGAATAAAACAAAAAATTAGCTTGAAATGAAGAAAAGCATTGAGCTTCAAACAGCAAGCATTAGATTAGATTATCTTCAGTTCCCACCACCACCAACTAAGTTATCTTTTCGAACACCTCATAACAAGGTTGCTACTTAGAGTCAGAGTGAGAATACAGGAATAACTCAACTGAAGTCGAGGTACTGGCGACTAGCGTTCACCTTTTTATTTTTCTGATAAATGAATGTATCTTGTAAAGAATTGTTAATTAGGCTATATATTCTTTTGTCTCGTTTCGTATCGAGTAACGAGAATCTGTAATTATCACATGCTGGCATCTAGGTATTTTTTAATGATAATAGTGTCCGCTACGAGGCGCTTATGGTTGAGGGGTGAGTGTTTATTTTTTAGGTTAAAACTGTCAAACTAGATAGGAAAACAAATTTACAGAGAAGTGTTATTTTGTTGTATTTTTTAATAAGTCGCCGGATTTTTTTACCTTTGAGGTCCTTGGATCTTTCACAGAAGTATTGTACTCCTTGATCTTTTCCATATGTAATTTCTTTCAGATTTAAGCGAGCCTACTGGTATTAATATAAATCCAGAAACGGATTTCGAAGCAGATAATAAACCTTCCATAAAATCGGAAGAAACTTATCCTGACTATGTAGCAGTTTATGATAGGTATGATATGGACTTATTCATAATTCCACCAATCTTTTCACCGGTCTGCAAGGTTTTGTGAAGTTGTAATTCCATGTCACACGCTATCCATTTTTTAGTCTTACGCTGTTAACCTGGCCTTAGCAAATTCAAGGTTGGATGGAAAACCACCTTATCGCCCGTTTTAAGTTCCTAAAACTGTAGCTGTAACACATTCAGCAAAGTGGTGTATGGACGCTACTTTTGTAATTTAATTTACCCCTTTTCTAAAGAAGCTTGAACTAATGGCCCACCAGTTGTTCTGAGTTTCATTCATATGGACAGTGTAAATTATGTTTTGCTTTAAGAAACACAAAGGCAAATAAATTAGAAACAGATGAGTTGTAACCAAAAGGGCGTTCACAACATAGTATTGGCAGAGATAAACGCAGTGTTGCTAGAAAGATAATCCTTGTCCATTACTCATAGTTAAAGGATTTTTTGTGCAGATTTACTTTTATTTGTATATTTGTTGAATGTGGAGGCAGTATTTTTCATCTCTTTGCAGCCTACAACGTATATTTTTCATTTAATATAGTTATGGATCTCATGTTTCGCAAGTGCTTTCCGGGTCGGGTAAACAAAAATTAATCTCAATTATTATATAGCTATTCAACTATGTGGAATATTAAATGATTTAATTTAATACCAATAGAGGAATGTCAGTTTGAAATTCAAATTTTTACGAACCTCAAATTTCTTGACTAATCGTCATTGTTGAATAGTTGCCAGTTATCTATGTTCACTTATTTTGTATGACTTTTTGACGTTACCACCAAAAGTCGTGATAGGAACTAACGTTCAGCTCAATGTAATTGTGGTAAATTCTAAACATTTTGTGTCACTTTGGCAACACCGCGTCGGTAACTGCAGAGCTAAACAGGCGGATAAAGGTTGATTGTTGATTCTCACTATACATTCCGTTTCCATTCCATATCAGTTTTGCATACACACATCACGTACTGATATATGTTAAAAACTAGTCAATCGTACGTATTTATTATGTTGATGCTAAACAGCAATCTCGAAGAGTTTCAAAGTGTCAAAGATGAACACTGGGATGGAGTTAGTCAGGTGAAAACAGAGAATCAGATAGCAGTCGTGGTTAAATCCGAAAAGCCGGATGCAGAACCATCTGTGGACAACATGTTGTTTGAAAACGTGGACACTTTGGCGCTGAATGACATCAAATATGAATATGATGAAGATGCCATTTCTGATTTAACATGCGATAGGTGGGTCTGATTTTGCATTGGATATATTTCATTTCATTCTATAGATATCAGAGAAACATACCAGTCAGTTAGTTTCACAGTACTTTTCACTTTATTTATTTTTTGTATCGGTTAAGTTAAAAAGCTACAATTTGAGGTGATGAGATTGATGCATCAATTTAATGTAAAAGTGGCAGTTGCAAAATGTGGCGGTTGGACGGGATCTTGGAAAGGAATGGGGGCAATGCGATATCTGGCCTAGAAGATCCTTAAAGGCGCTTCATAGCCCTAGAATATAATTGTACTATATTTCAGAATGGCAGGATCTCAAAGTTAAGCGTTTTTGAAAGGTAGCGATTTTATATTCAAGGATTGTAAAGTAACAATAAGGAACTACAGAATTTCTGTTTTAAAAAATTGTTTCAAGATGGGGCCCAATCGTTTTTTTGAAATTGCCAAATAACACGCTAAAATATAGTATTCGTGCATCAAACTCCCGTTCAAAACATAAGTGGGGAGGGGGGCCTTTTTGAATCACCCTGTATATCGGGTCCTTCACTACCGTTTTAGGATTCAAATTGAAGAGAAATTCTTCCCTGGGATTGAAGCTGACTGGACAGCAGGTACTGCCGACCAGATGGAAATGGGGTTTCAGGACTTTGAAAAACCGGAAAAAAAACCGCCTCTGAGTTATGAAAATACGGACGCGTTAGAGCTGCATCAGGAATTTGACATTAAAACTGAGGGTGACCAAAATGACGGACATGATTCGGCGTCCGATAGGTGAGTCTCCTTAATCCCCATACTCGACGGGGTGACCCAGAATGGTATGACTATTTCTGAAATGTACATAAAGAAATAATGCCTCAAGTTCCTATAAAAAAGTGTCATACAGGGCTCCCACGTCCTTAAAACATAAGAATCCTTTTTAATTCAACGAAATTTCTAGTTGTTGCCTCATTTGACAGTATCTATTGAAATAATTTAGATTGCCAGATACTCTTTAGTAGTTTTTATGCTCTGTACTATCACCTATTTATGACTATACTATAACTATCTAAAACTGTAATGACTCATCGATGTTCACGTGAACATCGCTTAACTACCAGTAGTCGGCTGTTCATAGGCGGGGTATGAATGTTTAACATGGGTGAACTAGATTTGTCACATGCTTAATAAAGAGTGGTTTGAAACATATTGTAAGTCAAAAATTTGGGAATTACCTTATTCATCGTCGCTTCCACTTACATCTGACAGTAATAAACTGTCGCTATCGCTTTCCTCGTTGAAATTGACTATAACTGGCTCTATGATGGTGTCGATGTGGTGGTCAAGCTGCCACATTTTTGTTTCTTCCTTCACATGAAGGATAGCATTCTGCCAAGCTTTGGGCGTTACTAGCTGTATGGAAGTCTCAAGTAAAACCTTAACGTCTGGTAATTTGAAGGTTGTGTTATGGCGCGCAATATAACCCTTCACTTGAGCCCAGATGAGCTCTATCGGGTTTGTAACGCTTCCTTTCCGCAAAAAGTCCAGAAAAGATGGAATGCACTGAAGATTCCAACTTTTCTGCACAATCACAGAAAGGGGGTTACCATTAGCTTCCGGTAGCTCAGTCGGTGGCATGAAGACATCTACAGGCGTGTAGCTGTGTGTCGACCATGGCATGGCTAGAGGATAGAAGAACAAACATAACACAAAAATTTAACAGATTTTATTTAACAAAAAAAAGGCATTTTCATTACATTACAATTTTACAAAAATAACAAAATAAGTTTTACATCTTTGGCGCTGCTATAACGCTATCGACTTATCTTTCGCTAGTCCATTTTTACTCGACTGAAGCCAGGATGGCCAGGGGCTTGAAGGGGAGGTCCCAGTTATGAGGGGTGACCTCCATATAGTGGCTTCACAACCAGTTGTAGGCGAAGTTAAAGGCGATGGCGCTGCCAAGGTACATGCATGGGTGAAAATATTGGCCAAGGCTAGGCAAAGTGAAAGGGAAAGAGAAAGGGGGTGGCCCCAATCATTTTTGTCCTATACGGACACACATTCTAGAAAATTCTAGCACATGGTGCTATATAACCTTGTGCTACTGAGAAGAAATTTCTAGCCGTTGTTCGATCGGCGGCTCAAGTGAAAAGGAAGCGCGAGGAAGATCGCAGATCAGGAACTCCGCATCAAGCGCTCCAAGCGGAAAATTTTCCAAGCAAAAAAGCTAGAGATGGGATTAATGAAATGATAATCGAGAAGTGATTTAATAAATACGATCGGACGGTGAAACCGTTACAGGTTCAGTTCACAGTGGTAGGGCGGTAACCGCAGCACAGTGACACCACATTGACGGGCCATCTCATCAGTCACGTAACTAATGTTCGCAGGTTTGTGCTGTTTAATTTTTTCATACAATTCCGCTTTCACACATGAATCGTCAAAGGGGATTCCTTTTTCGCGCAACCATTGCTGCATGTCACTTTTTCGAGATCCCATTGTCGGTACACGTTCGGCTCGACGACTATGGTAGGAAGCATTATCCATGACGATCACAGAGTTGGGCTCAACTAGCTGAAGCACCCCTTGAAACCAGCTCTCGAAGCAGCTGGCATTCATTTCGTCATGGTTATCACCTCCTTTCTTAGAGACGAAAATCAAGTCACACTCTTCTAAAAAGCCACTATCGCTACCAATATGAGTTACGATCAATCTTTGACCTTTCCTTGACGGTCCACGAAGACCCGTTGACAAACCTTCAATGCTTGCTTGTCGGTTACTCGCTACGTTTTTGTCTATCCAGGTTTTTTTAACTGTGTGACCTGCATTTACCCATGTCTCGACCAAATAATAGATTTTTCTGCTTTGTCGCCTATATTCAATCATTTCGCGTAGGTATCTTCGACGCCAGGCGACTATTTCAGGTCTCTCTATCAATACTGACTTCCGATTACGCGTTTCGTAACGAAAATTAATTTCGTGCAGAGATTTCCTCATTACCTCGACGCTCATTTGGGGTATAATTTCATTTTCCTCGATCGCCGCATGTACAGCCTTGAGGGTTGGTATCTCATTCCTAAAGAAGAATGAATGTACGGTTCGCCTTAACGCCATTTTGCTATCGTCATCCAATTTAACGGCCTTTCGTCCCTTCAAATTAAACTTTGGATCAGTAGTAGCTCCAGTTTTATTCTTTTCATGCGCCACCCTGCGAATGGTCCACTCTGGAACGCCTGTCATACTTTCACAACGCGCTAGTGCATCTCCCTGCGACATAGTTCTGTTCAGATAATTGAACACGTTGAGCACGATTTCTTTCGCGTCCCTCTTCAGTGCTTTACGAAGCCGTCTACTTGTTCCCTGGCTTTCAGTACTTCCACTCGTGCCATTTGTACTCTCCATGGTTAAGTATAACCAAAACAGTAACAATCACACAACAATTCTTATAAAAACACACAATATGCGATCGCTCAACGAAACACGTTCCAATGCGTTGCCGACGCGTATGAGTCTGCCGGTCGAGGCGCGTCTTTGATTTCATTGGTTCTACCGGCGGAGAACAATCAGCCATTATTTCCAACTCTGTCTGTGCTGTTGACCACCGCAAAGCCACAGAAACGACATATGTCGTACGCTATACGGCTGTACTGGAAGGAAGCCGAGATCGAGCTCTGATCACGTGTTGATCACGCGTATGAGTCATTACAGTTTTAAATAGTTGTAGTATAGAGATAGTATAGGTGAATGTGCAATGTTTTTAGCTTAACAAAAAATGAGTGTAGGTGATGTTTTCGAGCTACATGGATGCTGATATTTCAAAAGTAATAGACATCCAATTCAATTTTTATAAGAAAATTTAAGGCAAGTTTTAGAATCTGTCGTAGTAGAATAATGAAATCATTGTACATTATCAGTGAAGATCACTGAAATAGAATAGAAGTGATTGATCTTTTTTTTTCAGAGTAAGATTAAAGAAAGATTTCAAAAGGAAACACGAATATTCAATCGACGATATCGAAAGAAACAATAGCTATTTAGGATCTAGTTTTGAAAAATCTCAATCTGTTTCCGGGAAGCTATGCAAACCAAATGAATATGTTTGTATCAAATGTAATGATGTATTCAAAAGCGTAGTGCTACTAGATAATCATGTGATTAGAAAGCATGTCGACTCTATTGCGACGGTGACATCTAAAATACATGAATGTACATTCTGTGATTACAAAACCGTATTTAAACGTTATTTTACCGGGCACATGTTAATGCACACTAACACGAAAGTTTCTGATCTGCACATCTGCAAATATTGCAATACGTCGTTTAAAGCGAAGCAGTCGTTCAACGACCATATTCTGAAGAATCATCCCAACTTTGGCGAGACAGTGTCTAGAACGATACACGAATGTATGCATTGTGCATTTAAAACGACCAGAAAGGGTGATTTTATAAAGCACCTGGCAAATCATAATAGTGAAACGCCCTTTGCGTGTATAAACTGTGATTCCGTATTCAAAAGCCAAGTCTTACTGGATAATCATGTCATCAGGAAGCACGCTGAATCTGCTGCATCAGTTTCATCTAAAATACATGAATGCACGTTCTGCGATTACAAAACCGTTGTTAAACGTTATTTAACCGGCCATATGTGGATACATAATGATAACAAAGTTTCTGATTTGCACGTGTGCAAACATTGTAATGCGCGTTTTGAAGAAAATCAGTCGTTTCTTGCGCATTTTCTAAAAAACGATCCCAACTCAAGCGGGACAGATTCTAATAAGGTATACGAATGTATACATTGTGACTTCAAAACAACCGCAAGGAGCAGTTTTGTACGGCACGCGGAAAATCATAATAGTAAAAAGCGCTTTGAGTGTACAAACTGTGATGCGACCTTCAAAAGCGTACTGCTACTAGATAATCATTTGATTAGAAAGCATGTCGACTCGATTGCATCAGTTTCGTCTAAAATACTTGAATGTACATACTGCGATTACAAAACCGTATTCAAACGTTACTTAACCGGGCACATGTTAATGCACACTAACACAAAAGTTTATGATCTGCACATCTGCAAATATTGCAATACGTCATTTAAATCGAAGCAGTCGTTCATCGACCATATTCTGAAGAAACATCCCAACTTGAGCGGGACAGTGTCTAGAAAGATATATGAATGTATGCATTGTGCATTTAAAACAACCAGAAGGAGTGATTTTATCAAGCACTTGGCAAACCATAATAGTCAAAAGCCCTTTGAGTGTATAAACTGCGATTCTGTATTCAAAAGCAAAGTTTTACTGGATAATCACGTCATTAGGAAGCACGCTGATTCTGCTGCATCAGTTTCATCTAAAATACATGAATGCACGTTTTGTGATTACAAAACCGTTGTTAAACGTTATTTAACCGGGCATATGCTAATACACAATGATAACAAAGTTCCTGATCTGAACATCTGCAAACATTGTAATGCGGCTTTTAAAGCAAAGCAGTCGCTTTTCGGCCATATTTTAAAAAAACATCCCAACTTTAGCAGGACAGTTTCTAACAAGATATACGAATGTATACATTGTGAATTCAAAACGGCCGGAAGGAGTAGTTTTGTCAGGCACATGGCAAATCATAATAGTACAAAGGCGTTTGAGTGTTCAAACTGCGATGCGGCGTTCAAAAGCAAAATGTTACTAGATAATCACGTGATTAGAAAGCATGCTGAATCTATTGCTTCAGTTTCATCTAAAATACACGAATGCGGATTCTGCGATTACAAAACCGTTGTTAAACGTTATTTGAACGGGCATATGTCAGTACACTCTGTTACAAAAGTTTCTGATCTGCACGTGTGCAAACATTGTAATGCGTCATTTAAAGCGAAGCAGTCGTTCATTGACCACATTCTGAAGAAACATCCCAACTTTAGCTGGACAGTTTGTCATAAGATATATGAATGTATGCATTGTGCATTCAAAATAACCAGTAGGAGTCATTTTATAAAGCACGTGGCCAAACATAATAGTCAGATGCCATTTGCGTGTGCAAACTGCGATTCTGTATTCAAAAGCAAAATCTTACTGGATAACCATGTGATTAGGAAGCACGCTGAATCTGTTGCATCAGTTTCATCTAAAATTCTCGAATGTAGATTCTGTGATTACAAAACCGTTATTAAACGTTATTTAACCGGGCATTTGTTAATACACAGTGATAACAAAGTTTCTGATTTGCACGTGTGCAAACATTGTAATGCGTCTTTTAAAGCAAAGCAATCGCTGCTTGACCATATTTTAAAGAAACATCCCGACTTCAGCGGAACAGTTTCTCATAAGATATATGAATGTGTACATTGCGACTTCAAAACGACCAGAATGGCCTCTTTTAAAACGCACATGGCAAAATATAGTGAAAAGCTCTTTGCGTGTATAAACTGCGAGGCGGCATTCAAAAGCAAAATGTTACTAGATAATCATGTGATTAGGAAGCACGTCGACTCTATCGCATCAGTTTCATCTGAGATATATGAATGCACATTCTGTGATTACAAAACGTCTCTTAAACATTATTTAACCGGCCACATGATTAAGCACACTAACGCAAAAGCTTCTGGCGTGCACATCTGCCAACATTGTAATATGTCGTTTAAAGCAAAACAATCGCTCCTTAACCATTTTTTAAAGCAACATCCCAACTTTAGCGGGACTGTTTCTAGTAAGATATATGAATGTATACATTGTACGTACAAAACAACCGGAAGACGTGGTTTTTTGAGGCACATGGCAAATCACGATAGTCAAAATGATGCGTCGTTTAAAACTAAGCTGCACTTAGACCACCACGTTTTAAAGAAGCATCCTGAGCGTATTGCTTCTGTGTCTCGTAAGATACTGGAATGTACGCAATGTGAATATAAAACCGCAAGGGCAGACAACTTAGCTAGGCATAGCATGAAACATAATAGAGCTAAGCTTACGTGTACAAAATGCGATGAGTTATTCACAAAGAAACATTTGTTAGACAACCACGTTTTACAGAAGCATCCTGATCTTGTTGCTTCTATGTCTCGTAAGATACATGAATGTACACAATGTGAATATAAAACCACACGTGCAGATTACTTAGCTAGGCATATGATGGAACATACTAGAACTAATCTCGCCTGTACAAAATGTAATGCGTCATTTACAAAGAAACAGTTGTTAGACAACCACATTTTACAGAAGCATCCTGAGCTTATTGCTTCGGTATCGTCTAAGATTCATGAATGTACACATTGTGAATATAAAACTACACACGCGAGTAATTTAGCTATACATATAATGAAACATACTGGAACTAAGTTCACGTGTACAAAGTGTGATGCGTCATTTACAAGCAAACAATCGTTAGACAATCACATTTTACAGAAGCATCCTGAGCTGACTGCTTCTGTATCTAGTAAGATACATGAATGTATACATTGTGAATTTAAAACTTTAAACACGAAGCATTTAGCTGCACATACGATGAAACATACTGGAGCTAAGCTGACGTGTACAAAGTGTGATGCGTCCTTTACAAATAAACAATCGTTAGACAACCACATTTTACAGAAGCATCCCGAATTGATTGCTTCTGTAACTAGCAAGATTCACGAATGCGTACATTGTGAATATAAAACGATATACGCGAAGCATTTACCTATACATACGATGAAACACACCGGAGCCAAGCTCACGTGTACAGAATGTGATGCGTCATTTATGTATAAACAGACATTACAGAATCACATGTTACAGAAGCACCCTGAGTTTATTGATTCTGTATCTAGTAAGATACACGTATGTACACATTGTGAATATAAAACTATTCGAGCCCCGGATTTAGCTGAGCATATCATGAAACATATTGGAGTCAAGTTTCCGTGTGCAAAATGTGATGCGGTATTTACTCGTAAACGGACATTAGACTGCCACATTTCACGTAAACATCCCGAATTTACTACTGTTGTTTCTATTACTAGTAGTAGTCCTGTTACTAGCAACTAGGCCACCTTTGACCTTTTTGGCGACCCCGTAATACCAACTGTACTACTCGTTTTGTCAAACAAAGGAAAGAAAAATTGAATATGTATAGTAGTAACACCAAACAATGAAATAAAAGCTTTCTTTAAGAATGCAAAAAATCATTTATGTAAATACTACTACTGCCACCAAAGCCCTAATAATACTTACTGGTGGAAACATCTACCTTCTTCAGGCTTGTGCCGCTCTTTACAAATTATGTAAAAAGTACCATGTCCCGAAATCGCACCCAGCAAGTCACTCGCACTTTCAAAAAATAACACTGAAAATACCAATTTAGTGGCAGAACTGTCAGAAAATTGACAGTAGACAATATTGGGATTAGTTTTAGATCTAGCAAAGGTCTCTCTGTATAAGCGGGATATTTGAACGAATATATTTTTATTAATTAGTATTTATGTATGTAGGTGTAATTAATTTGTATATTTCCGATTTTTACATTTAGTAATAATGTTGGTAATTTTGCTTAATGTTTTAGTTGTTTATGAGTGATTTGATCTCATAAGTCAAAATTATTAGCACAATTATATTTTTTCAATATTCCTGTTAATGTATTTAGTTCTTTTATCTTGTACATTTCATATTGTATTTGAAATAAATTTATATAAATAATACACGTCTTTTTACTAATAAAACAAAAAATTAGCTTGAAATGAAAAATGTATAGAATGGACAAATTTACCATGTCTTTGTTATTACCTGCAACGAAATTTTAAGAAAAACGAAACAAGATGGTGAAAAAATTATTCACGTATCTTTAAAAACAAAAAACTTACAGCCTATCAAAGTTGAATGTGAGTAATTTCATTATTGAAATCTTTCGCGTTAATAGTGTAGCAGTAGCCATAAATACTTACTTCCAAAGTTTCACACCTTTTAGTTCCGCGCTTGCATATGATGGCGTTAAAAAAATAAATTCCATCGCTGCATAGATGTCAATTTTTGGCAAATTGTCACTTAACCCTTTTACAAATCCACGTACCATAATGGTACGAACCTACGCAGTGAAGTGTGACGTCAGACGCGAACCGACGGCAGCAATGATTTCGTACTATAATGCGCCAAATTTAAGTAATAATTTCTCTGTCATTTATTGCCGGTTACTTTTAGTTAGAACACAAATTAGCGTAAATGAAGTCGAGGTGCTATCGGCTTTCTTTCTGTGAAAACAGCGCTTTACTTTTCTAATTGAAGATTGATGAGAACGTGTATCGTAATAAATTGTTAACTAGACTATATATTCTCCGACTCGTTCCGTATCGAGAAAAGGGAATCAGACAAAGGTACAATAATTAAATATCTTTTTAGTAAATGTCAAAAATCCTTTTGGGTTAGTGACATCTGTGGGTAATTGGTGAAAATACGTCATGTATTTTCGTTCTGTGCTTTTCTTCGACTTGTGCTTTGCCTTGTACTTTTGACCTGCTTGAGCCACGCCACGTGCAAAGTTAAGCTTTCTCTTAATTTTTTGGTGCGATTTTTTTATCCACGTGGTTTTTGAGGTTTGCGGACTTTGGGTAAAGTATCTTTGAGATAATCCTTCTTGTTCTTCATTTATAAGTTCATACTAATATTAAGTAAGCACTGGTACGACACCAAAAACCGATTTGGAATCGGGTTTACAGCTTTAGCATAAGATCGGAAGAAGCTTACCCTGACTTGCAGATCATGATAGAGTATGATATAGACTCATTTATAATTCTATCCGCGTTCGCCGATCTGCAAGTTTTGTGAAACGTGTAATCCCAGTTCAAATGATCTCCATTTTGTGGTCTTACACTGGGCTGAAATTAAGCTTACCTAATTACATAAATACGCAACTTGAAACACCCGGATATTAATAACACGTTATCTTCCTGTTGTATCTATTTTTGATAAATAATGCTTTTCAAAATCATGTGAATTTCGAAATTGTTCCAAGTCAAAAGCACACAGTGATTCAGTTTTGTAACTCTGATAGACACATTGCTTTTAGGTTCTGTAAATCTGTTGAAAAATATCATCATTGACATTTTCAACTACCACGCTAGAATATTGAAATTGTGCATCAGCTTCATCGTCTTGCTCAAAAAATAAGTGGGGAGTGGGACCTTTTTGCATCACCCTGTATATTGGCCATCCTGTATTGAAACGCTTCCTTCACTATTGTTCCAGAATTGCAGTTGACGAGAAATCAGAGTGTGAAATTGGAGCTGACTCGACAGCAGACACTTCTTTCAGGTTTTCAGACTCTTGGAACTCCATTTTCGTATCATCAACTGGAGTTCCAAGAGTCTAAACACCTGGGAGAAAAATCACCTATGGGCAGCGAAAATCTCCAAAATATCGACGCCTTAGGACTGCAAGAAGAAATTGGTATACATGTAAGATACAAAAATACAACTTTGCTACTGGAAATCTGGTTTTCATAATATTTGAGCGCCACCGTATTTCATTGAAAAATTGAGTGAAATTAATAGAACTGAGCTGAACGTTTATTAAAAACGATCCATTATATTTTTGTTAAGCAAGAGTGCACTTTTTTAGTTTAAAGATCACGCTTTCCAAAAATACTACTTAAGTCATTATGACATTTAGTGTAAAAAAATATAGCAATATTGTCTATTTCCCATGATGTTTTAGTTGTTTGTGGAGATTGTGGCCTGTCAAAATTAGCACATGTTTTTGTATATATTTACATTTTTTCCATTATTTTACAGAGCTCTTTTATGTTGTAAATTTCATACTTCATTTGAAATAAATATATTTAAATAATACGTGTCTTTTATGTCTTTCTATCTATATTTTATATACAGGGTGTTCCAATATTCCCTGATAGTCTACACACATTCTGAAAGAGCCATCTTTCTTTTTCACAAGGACTCGCTAATGGTGATTCACTAGGTCGTAAACTTTATTCTCTAGCAAATTATGATTTGACGGACGCCAGTTTTGCCAGTGGATATTAGCAAATGAAAACACTATTCCTAGAATATTATGGTCGGATGAGTCAATATATACTAGGAATGGTGTTTTTAATTTCCATAACGTGCAGCACTGGTCAGATGAAAATCCAAAAGTTGTTCGCCGTACAAATTTCCAACATACATTTTCATTGAATTTATGGGCAGGAGTAATTGGGCCTATTGTATTTCCCAATCGACTTAATTCAGAGGTGTATCTGAACTTTCTTCAGAATGAGCTCATGGATATACCATTGGATGTGCGCCAGCAGTTTCAAGAAAATATGTTTTTTCAAAATGAAGGGGCCCCTGCACATTTTGGACGCAATGTTCGAAATTGGTTGAACGTCAATTTTCCAGACAGGTGGTTAGGCCGAGGAGGTCCTATAGCGTGGCCGCCACGTTCACCTGACCTAAATCCATTGGATTTCTATTTTTGGGGTCATCAAAAGACCTAGTTTACTCGACTGAAGTAAATACTCCAGAAGATTTACTTGAAAGAATCCATCAGGCTGCAAATGAAATAAGAAGAAAAAGGTTTTCCACTTTTCGGGCTACGCAACCATTAGTTCGTCGAGCGAGACTCTGTATCCAACAAAATGGGAATTTATTTGAACACTTGTTGTAAAGCTAGTTTTAAGTATATCCAACACGTGTAATAAATTTGCTTTGAAAATATTCATCAAGGTCATTTGAAGGTCAAATAAATTTTTATCGGGAAAGATCTATTTTCAATTCCAGAAATGCAAATTGCTGACAATTTTATGGTCAACTATATCCTTGGAATGACCGTCAAGGTCATTTCAAAATCAGATAGATTTTCAAGTAAACTCCTTATTTTTTGTCGAGGATATAAAAAACATTGTAATTAATTTATTGTTTCATTAAAATGTTGGAAAAGATGTTCATGGTCAAATTAGCTATATAGCGTTACTTTGAATATTGCATTTCTGTCTCTGAAACCAATCTCTTTCACACTAATGTAAGACGAATGGCGTCATAACACTACTTCCACGCGAGCGGAGTCCCGGGTAAGAACATAAGGGGTAGGCAGTCCCTCGAAAAGTGTGATTTAACTCCCAGAACAATGTTAGCCCCCTAAAAATTCCCCAAGGGAACAAAAATTCTCCAATATGTCAACCCTGCATCATTGTTGTAAAGAAACATCATCCGTGAGAATTGAGATTGACTGGGCTATTCCCCGACTCGATTCGTATCGAAAAAGAGGAATCTGAAATCACTGGCTTGTGGGTTGTGACATCTGTGGGTGATTCGGTCAAATATATAATTGAGTATTGAAATCTGTATACGATGTAGCTACTTTTATTTTTTTATAACATGTTTTACTCGAGCGTCCAGGCATAAATTTAGGGGTTATTGTTAATATGTGGTGTTAGGACGTTAATCAAATAATAGTTGCATTCGTTTTGATTTTGGTAGTGGTATTTAAGAGAATTATTGTTAGTCCTTGTTCACTTCTAATGAATTCTCTATCGAGCAAGCAGTCAATCAAAAATATGAAACCAAAAACGGATTTGGAACCGGATAATAACACTTGCATAAAATCGGAAGAAGCTTATCCTGACTATGTAGCAGATTGTGATAGGTATGACATGACTTTATTTATAATTCCATCAATCTTTGCAAATGAATTCAAGATTCTGTGGACGGAGTAATCCATTTTGTAGTATTGTTTATTATTACAGCCTAAATAACAATCAGCTGTGAAACTCTCCTGTCAGTGTCAAAAACGGACGCCATTTCGGCGAAGAAAGTCGAATGCAAATTCCCCCAGTACAAATATGAAAGTTTTAAGTGCTCACTGCTCAGCAGCTGGTACACTATCATACCAAATATTACGATTTTAAGATTGTAAAGAATATCTGCTGTCCTTGGCATGGCACGAGGTAACAGCAGCTGCTGCTGCTGAGCGCTAAAACCTCTTTTATCGTTGTACTGGGGGAATTTGCACACGACTTTCACCGCCGACACTGACAGTAGAGTTTCATATAAATATTTTACGAGTATCACGGTAGAATGACAGCTGGTTATCTAGTAATACCTCAGAATTTCCAATATTGGCACAGGACACATAATTCTGACGGATCCGTCAACGCCAGCTAGACAGAGCCGTATTTTATTTCGGTTTTTTGTTCGTTATAGATTCAATTTGTTCTTGCTAACAACTATTTTATTTAGATAGAAAAGTTTTAATAGATTTATACCCGATTCATTATTACCAATGTTGCAGACTAACACAAATATGCCACTTGCTGATCAGCTGTTTACCTCAGTAGACGTCAAAGCGTGATGGATACTCGTGAAATAGTGTATAGCTGATTGTTATCCAAGCTGCAGTATTATGCTGAATTCAAGTTAACCTTATGTTAGCGACCTTAAATACTGGCATGCCTTTAAGAATTTGCCATCTTTTGGTGATGGTGGTCTGTTCCTTTGTTCTTTCAAGCTGCTTGATGCGTCATCTGGCGGCATTCAAGTAAAACAAATCGGATTGGTAAGGTATCTTCAATGGCGTTCTAGATGCATCACGCCGTCTCGTGGGCACACACCACAACAACTTGAAGAAAGGAAAAATGAGCCCTGGCAGGATTCGAACCCGCAGCTTTGAAAGAACAAAGTAACAGTGGCGTGTAGATAGGATAACGCCCGTTTTTCCTTCCTCTCAAGTTGTTTACTGAAGAAAATTGTTGATATCCTAGAAATGTAGACCAAATATCTTCTGTCGGAATATGTTAATTATTGTCTGAAGATGACATTTTTTAGAGTCAAAGATGAACGCTTGGATGGAGTAAACCAAGTGAAAATGGAGAATCAGTTAGACATCGAAGTTAAATCTGAAAAAGCAGATATAGAATCAATGATGTCTGTAAATATGGACAGTTTGACGCCAAATGAAGAGCTTAACATCAAACCTGAATATGATGATGATTATGTGATATCTGACTTAGGATGGGATAGGTGGGTCTGATTTTTTTTAGTTCCTTTTTTACATTTAACTCAAAAAGATCTTCCCCTACATAATCTTTAAACGACCTTATGAGCACTAGTATATAAATTTACTATCTCTCAGGATGTCAAAGTAGAACATTTTTGAATGTTAGCAGTGTTACATTATAGGATTATACAGTAACCATAAAAATCTTCATTCTATTTTAAAAGAAGCTTCAAAAACGCTCTCTTCATTACCATTTTAGAATTAAGGTGGAAGAGAAATTAGAGTCAGGCATTGAAGTTGACTCGGCAGGGGGTGCTGTTGACCAGTTGAAAATGGAGTTCCAAGATTCTGAAACGGTGGAAGAAAAACCAGATTCAAGCGGCACCCATTTTGAATATATTGATGCCTTAGGGCTGCATGAAGATTTTGACATCAAAACTGAGATTGACGAAAGTGATGAACACGATTCTGCAACCAATAGGTAAGTCTCCTTTAGTCCTCAAACTCTGCTACAGTGTGTTCCAGAATATTGAATTCTGCAGTGTTGTTCAAATGTTACTGTATCTCTGCAGACATTTTTTTTATAGCTCTATATATGCATCCCAGAAATTGACATGTTATTTTGGGACTCATGGATTATAGGCCCTTGTACTAATCCTATTCCTAATTGAAACAGCAGACAATCCAAGTTGATCTTACATGTGAAAGAGAAACCCTTTCATAGACGCGACACTTTATGCTGATTGGATTTAGTATTTATTTCACTATTTCTTTAGTTTAGACACAGCTTAGATAACAATCAGCTATGAAACTCTCCTGTCACTGTCAAAAACGACCGCCATTATACTCGAAACAACTGATTGTTATCTAACGTGTGGTTTAGATGTGCACAGGGTTGCCACATCCTAGATAGCAAAGGCCTTATTTAACCGGAGCAAACGAGTGGAATAAGTGCTTCGAAAATTGGTTCGAGCGCATGCAGATGTGTATTAATCTTCGTGGAGAATACTTCGAAAAACAATAAAGTTATTTAAAACTACCTACCGTGTTGTTTTATTTCCATATGCAAAACTTAAAAAGACATCCCTCGTATAATAACATTCAATGCATATTTGAGATTCTGTTGATAATACAATTATGATGCATATCATTGACGACCATTAACATTGAAAACTTTTGTTTCAGTGCACAAATAAGGAAAAAGAGGAAAGGAGGAGGGAAAAAGTTACAAGGTAATCGTGTGATTGAAAAGCACGACCCAGCCAACACCGTTCAGAAAGGTGATTTAGGCAAGCATACTGCTCGTAAACGATGCATGTGCAAATATTGTAATAAGTCATTTCTAAGAAAACAATTGATGTTCGACCATATTTTAAGGAGACATCCAAACTTTATAGGAACAATTTCTAGTAAGATATATGAATGCATGCATTGTGCATTCAAACTAACCAATAGGCTAAATTTCATAAAACACATGGTCAGACATGATCCTCGAAGGCCTCTCGCGTGTATAAAATGTAATGTGTCGTTTAAAAGTAAGCAATGTTTAGATAACCACATTATACAGAAGCATCCTGAGCTTGGTGCTTCTGTGTCTTGTAAGATAAACGAATGTAAACTTTGTGAATATAAAACGACATATCCGCATAGACTAACGAATCATATTATGATTAAGCATACCGGAGCTAAGTTCGCGTGCTCAAAGTGTGACGCGTCTTTTACCAACAAGCGATCATTAGACAATCACATTTTACAGAAACATCCCGAGTTTGCTGCTTCGATGTCTCTTAAGATACACGGATGTACACGTTGTCAATACAAAACTATATTCGGAAGGGATTTAGATAGGCATATGATGAAACATACTAAGCTTAAGTGTAAAAATTGCGATAAGTCATTCACAAGTCAACGATCTATAGACAATCACATTCTGCAGAATCATCCCAACTTAGCCGATTCCGTAACCGGTAAGATATACGAATGTACACATTGTGAATATAAAACTGTACAAAACACGAAATTCGATATGCACATGATGAAACATACTGGAGCTAAGCTCAAGTGCGTAAAGTGCGGTACGTTATTTGTAAGCAGACTATCGCTGGACGACCATATTTTACAGAAACATCCCGAGTTGATTGCCTCCGTGTCTCTCAAGATACATAAATGTACACATTGTGAATATAAAACAACACGCCGGCATATGTTGACCGTACATATGTGGAAACATCCTGGAGCTGCGTCATTTACGAAGGATGAGATGTTAGACGACCAGAGGCAACGTGCTAGAACTAAGGTCACGTGTGTAAAGTGCGATGCGTCATTTGTAACCAAACTATCGTTAGACCACCACACTTTACAGAAGCATCCCGAGCTTGCTGATTCTGTGTCTCGCAAGATACATGAATGTACACAGTGTAAATATAAAACTGTATTCACACAATCTCTCGCTAAGCATATGAAGAAACATACCGGAGCTAAGCTCACATGTCTACATTGCGATGCATCATTCAAACGCAAAAAATCGTTAGACAACCATATGTTACAGAGACATCAGCTTACTGCTTCCGTGTCTGATGAGATACACGAATGTATGCATTGCAAATATAAAACAACAACAAAGCACAAATTTACTGTGCATATGAAGAAACATCCTGGAACTAAGCCGACGTGTACGAAGTGTGATACGACTTTTTTACATAAACGAACATTGGACGACCATATTTTACATAAACATCCCGAGCTTATTGCTTCACTGTCTAATAAGATACATGCGTGTACACATTGTCAGTATAAAACTATATTCATAACGAGTTTACGTAGGCATGTGGCGAAACATACATAAGCTTACGTGCATCATTTACAAGCAAACTATTACGATGCATAAGAGGATATGTTCAAAATTAAACCTAGCGAGTCATGTAGAAGTATATTTAAAGTCAACAGCTTATTAACATTGCCGGGAATTTATATCTATAACACTCTATCTTTAACCATAAAGGAAAGTTTGGAAAAAACGTCTTCAACCTCAGCTACAATACTCGCAAAAGTCAGATACTCATCTACCCATCACATAAACGAAATTCAATTCCAAAAAAAAATGTCCACTTTACTCAGCACTAAAATTTTACATCTTCAGTCCATTTCGGCACTCGCTATATTCAAAAAAGCATTCATAAATAGGTTGAGGGGTTTTACGCTTGATATAACAAACTAATGTGCGGTGAAACGTGAGCGAATAAGTAAAAAAAAAATAAATGAAAAACCGTTCAGTTGAACTGAAATTCCAAGTACGGCTCTGTCGTAAAATCCGAGGAGCACATAGTAGCCTATTTACATCGTTGTCGTACGTCGTATAACTGTACGCTGGCGTTATTGGGCGTGCTAGAGGGACATTGGTGTATATGCGAAGAAAATCCTCAAGACTACGCGTCGTGTAAAGGAAAACCCCAACTTTGCGGACCCTGTATATATGCTAATGGAACCATATAGTATTGAAGAGTCTATACTCTAGTGAAACCGTAAGTGTCACGATATTGTTTGTGTTATATGTTGTCCATGTATGTTTGTTTTTGATGTACTTTAAAAAACTATATGTTATATACACTGTATCATAATGACGTGTTTTCCTTCGTTATAGAGTTCCTTATGTATTTTGCTATTATTTTTCCTAAACTGTATGCTGCAAATAAACATTATTATTAGTTTTAGAAATAGCAAGACCTCATAAATTATAACAGATTTCATCAAATTTTTAAAAATGTATAATATGTACTGTATTACAACCACACTATGCGGAAATATTGTGATCTGAACTAAGATCATATTGTCGTACGAAACCATGTCGACTGGACTATCGCCTCTCTCGCTGCTGGTGACTCATTTTCGACTGTCTTCTGACCGACTGAGCGATATTTCTTGTTCGTGGTTCCACTTTGCGTTCTGCCATGCTTTTGCAGATGACGATTCAACTGTTTTGTTGTTTAAAAAGGACAAAGAAAAAAATGAACATTTTTGTTTCGGAAAATCGAATTTTTGTTAGTCCAAATATACTAAGTGACATATAAATCCGAACACCCAGTTTAAATGGTTTTATTTTAATAAAAGTCGGTGAATGTATTTTTCTTACTGTAAATAACAAGTGAAAAAATGTTCAGCCTTATCAGTTGGACATTCCGGTTTTTATACTGATTTTTTTTAATTCACTAACGCTCTAAAATGAATATTTCAGCCGCAGTAAAGAATCAACGTTGGCTGGATTTTGGTTCTTGACATCCTTTACGATCGGTTACGATGCCTAGAGTACGGAGACCTGTACAATTTCGTCAACTTAGTGAGTTTGATAGGGGCCGTATAGTGGGACTTCGGGAAGCTGGACTTTCTTTTCGGGCAATTGCAGTTAGAGTGCAAAGAAGTGTAGACACTGTGGTTAGGTGTTGTCAGGCATGGCTTCGAGAAGGCCGTACGCAAAGAGCAAGGGGCACTGGACGCCGCCGTAGAACAACAGACCGTGAAGATCGCCGCCTAAGATTATTGGCCTTAAGGGACCGTTTCTCCACTACCAGGTCCATTGCAAATGAATGGTTTGCAGAACACGGAAGACCTATTGGCATGCGAAGTGTTTACCGACGAATGAGAAGTTTTGGCTTGTTTTCATACCGGCCACCCTGGGTCCTCCCTTTAACTCGAGAACACCGACGTAATCGCCTTGAGTGGTGCAGACAACGGTCACTCTGGGATCAGGAATGGAACAGTATTGTCTTTAGTGACGAGTCTGGATTTTGTTTAGGCATGCACGATGGTCGTGCCAGGGTTAGAAGGCGACGTGGTGAAAGGAGGAATCCACAGTTTTTTGTTGAAAGACATGTTCATCACACTGTTGGAGTTATGGTTTGGGGTGCTATAGCTTATGGTTCCAGGTCACCTTTAATCTTCATCAGAGGTAACATGAACGCGCAGCGTTATATCCACGAAGTTCTAGAACCCCATCTTTTACCCTATCTTGACACCCTGGCAGATCCAACTTTCCAACAAGATAATGCCCGACCACATGTTGCAAGAGTCACAATAGACTTCTTTCAACATAATGATGACACATTGTTACCATGACCACCAAGATCTCCCGACTTATCTCCAATTGAGCACGTGTGGGATATGATGGGTAGGAGATTGCTCAATTTGCAACGTCCTCCTCAGACTCTAGAAGCACTTCGAGAGGAGTTGGTGGTTGCCTGGAATGAGATACCACAGGAGGACATCGACCACCTGATCAGAAGCATGCCTAGGCGCGTTGGAGAATGCGTAGCACATCAGGGTGCATCCACACATTATTAAAGGTCAAAGGGCTTTCAGTGCAATCATTTTGAAATTTTTATCATTTACTTATTATGCTTCATTAAGTACTTATACAAAATTTTTTCAAAATAAAACCATTTAAACTGGGTGTTCGGATTTATATGTCACTTAGTATAGTCTCCTCCAAAGTTAATACAGCGTTTTGCATGGATGGCCTCGACGTCAGCATACCGCTGTTCCTTCATGGCCAAATGTAGTTTACCGAACAGAAAATAGTCACACGGTGTCATATCAGGAGAATATGGGGAGTGGTTGATGATTAAAATGCCACCTTTTGTCAAAACATCGGACACAAGCGTCGATCGATGAGGTGGTGCATTATCATTTCCTAATATCTATTGATCATATTTATACTTTCTTTTTTCTCTTCTTAAAGCGCCTTTCTCTTTTCTGTTTTTTTTTTATTTTGTTTCACTTTATGACACATAGACTGTGTAAATTAAACCATTGTATTATGTATTGCTCTCTAAATGGTACCTGTACTGTTGGGCAATAAATGCTTTATTATTATTATTATTGTTACAAGCGCAAGCTTCCTTCTTCGCGATATTCTGACCGAACACGCGATGGTCGTCATATACGTGTCGATAAATGTTTTACCAGTTTAACACAAAATCTAATATTGGCTCTTTGTTCAACGCTCATCTTTCGACCGATGCTAAAAAGGTACCGTCACTTTGAGCGCGATAACTCCGCGTGAAGTGGTTCATGAAATTTTGACGGGGCACCAAAGCGAAATGTATCTATCCAACGCTAGTCTCCGATAATATATGGCGCTACTCGTATAGGATATCTTTCAACGATTCGATTTCGCCTTTTGAAACGATTCAACTCGCCCCTTTTACACACATAAAATACGCTTTTCCAATATTTTTTTATCGTGTTTGAAGAAATTAGTACGTAACGCCTAAAGGAACGTTTTCATTTTGCTTGGCAACATGACGCTTCAATTGACGCAAAGCGTTGCAAAAACCTCTTAAGTGGAGACATACCTTGAATGTGCCCAACAAAAAATGTCAACGAGATAAATAGTCTTTATTAAACAAACATTGATTCAAGCAAAATATGTGATGATATAAAAATAAAATTATAGAGGGTGCGTCGTCTGTTACTTTTTGTTCTATTTGGAAAATCATCACGCTTTTTACGAGGTGAAATCGAATTTTTTTATCGATAAATGAAGGTTGGTTTATGCCATTTATGTATGAAAAATAACATCAGTCATGCGACCACCGCGGCTTCGTTTACAGGCCATATCCGAACATCAAAATTTTCAATGAGTTTTCCAAGAATAATCGGGTCTATGGCCGCAATTTCAGTCCGAATATTGCGCTTTACGTCCGGGGACCATTTGCATACACTTTTCCTTAAAAAAACCCAAAGAAAATAGTCAAGAGGTGTTAAATCGCACGATCTCGGGGGCCAACTGACATCTGAATTTCGTGAAATTATGCGGTCTTGAAATTTCGTTTGCAATAAGACGATTGTTTGGCGAGATGTGTGAGTCGTTGCTCCGTCTTGATGAAACCAAAGATCGTCGGAACCAATACGATCCAATTGTGGCCACAAAAAGTCTGTTAACGTGCCGCGATAACGTTCCCCGTTGATGGTAATGGCCTTTTCTTCGGCATATTCAAAGAAGAATGCTCCAACGATGTGACGAGTCCATAATCCGTACCAAACAGTCACTTTTTCAGGATGGAGAGGTTGTTCATGATATTGGTGTGGATTTTCAGCTCCCCAGAATCTGCAATTTTGCTTATTTACGTACCCATCGAGGTGAAACTGAGCCTCATCAGAGAGCACTTTGGACGAAAATCCGTCTTCTCTTTCCATCATCAAATTAACAAAAACACGCCGCTGTTGATGATCTGCCCGCTTCAATTCTTGTGTTAGTTGGATTTTGTATGGATGGAGGTGTAAATCAATGTGTAAAATCCGGCTTAAAGTGGTCTCACTAATTCCCAATTTTTGCGAACGGTGCCTAGTCGAGGCGGTTGGATCTTCTCGCACACTTTCAGTCACTGCGGCTATGTTTTCACGAGCACGAGCTGGACGAGCAGGTTGGTATGGTCTACGATCTTCAGCTGAACCAGGTTCCTCAAAACGATTAACAATCCAACGAATTCCAGGCTCTGTAGGGCGTCCATGTCGGCCAAAAATAGTGCGAACTTTGCGAAAAGTATTTTTTATATTTCGACCGTTTTCGTAATAAGTTTGAATAAATGGCATACCTTTGACAGTTCATTTATGCATTCCACATGACTTTTGACTCACATGGTAACACATAAACTTATAGGTAAAAAACAAGTAATAGATGCGCAGTTGCACTGTTTTATTTCTATAAAATTACACTTATTTGTTCATAGCCTAATACCAGTATCATTCTGGCAATCCTAATATTTTAAAATCGAGATACAAAACTATAAAACCACATTTACAAATAAATGCTATATACAGCTTGACGAGCACTACAAGCTGTTAAAATAAATTACACCCTGCATATAATATACAACATAAAAGAATTCATACATACAATAGTCCATTTGAGTTATAGGGTGAAAAATCTTTGGTTTAAGTTTATAAACAGTACATTACATACCTAGGTTGAGAAGAGTCCCAGAGATCTAGAATTTTCAAATTAAATTCAAAGAAATACGACACATGTTGAGAAATCTTATCGAAAATTAGTCTCCAGAATTGCGACTTTCTTTTACCATTTTGTTTCAGATACTCATGGAAACTGTTCAACGCATTGTGCATAATGGCGTAGATTAGCAGGTTCAATTTTGCTCTTGAAATACCGCCGATAGGGAAAAATCCAGTGGGGGCAAATCTGGTGGTGGCAGTGGCCATGCAAAATCACCGAGGCAAATAATCAATTTTTTGAAAAGTAGGGTTCGATCGAAGCTTCGGCCACATACTTATAAAAACAATCATTGATCAAAAATGTTTTGTGGGAATACCGTGTAATGAAAGAGTGAAACCACACAGGCCAAGCAGCTAACCGCAAACCGAGAAAAAGGCGTCCAAAGTGTGATTGATTTACGTCAAACAAAAATATAGGATTTTAAGAAAACTACTCTATGTTACGGTCAAAAAGCTTTGCCAATAAGTAGAGAAAATTATACTGATTCATTAAGTATCAACTGCGTCTGCCTATTGCCGCCAAAAATAAAATGTTATTTTAAAGGCTGACCTTTGTTTCAAAGATATGATTTTGAAAAAGTTTGTATTTTATTATCATTTATTGATCCTTCTCTGAG